TTTAATATTTTTTGCTCGATTAGCATCTATATATATATATAAAATATAAAATATTTAAATAAATAATAAACTTACATCGTAATGTTGAAAGTGTTTCATCATAATTATCATGAGCTGGACTTATAGCAGCAACCTCAAAAAAAAATATACATCAATTATAATATTATTCTAATATATAATTATTTACCATTAATGTTTTTGTATTTCCACCAAGTGAATCTTGTAAAAGTCTTGTTAATTTTGAATCTCGATAAGGTATATGTTTTGAACGTCCATCAACTAATGCTGATATTACATTACCCAAAGCACTAAGTGATAAATTAATACGAGTTGCTTCACGTAAACGTTCACCTTCAGCATCTATAGTTTTATAAATAAAATTAATATTCAAATAGAACAAAACAAAAAAATTATTTGAAAAATATTTACGTGTTTTTGATTGTCGTTCACTACCAGCTAAATCAACTAAATTAAGTTTACCAGCACGAATATGATCTTTTCCATCAAGTTGACTACGTGTACACATTTCCGTAACAATTGTAAATATTGAATGTGATCGAGAAGAATCTTTATTCATAAGTGTAGCACCTGTTGCACGATTTCGATTTCCTTTTTCCATAAGACGTTCACAATCGATTACACTTGAACATACATGCCATGATAAATTTTGTACATGAACACCTTTGTCAACATATTCCTTTTTTTTTTTTTTGGAGAATAATTAATTAATAAATAAAATCATATTTATATATTTAATCTTTTTTTTTTTTTTGTTTTTACTTTGAGATCAAGTGTTGCTTTCACATCTTTTCCAAGTAAATCACGAATACTTTCATTATATATTTCAAGATATGATGCACGAATAAGATATTTAGTACCAGTTGCTATGGATGATGCATCAAATATATGCTAAAAATAATATTCAAGATTTAGAAAAGTATATTATTTTTAAATTTAATTATTAATATAGAACAATTTATTTTCTATCAAACTTATATTGTAAAAGTTTTAAGACAAAAATATTTGTTCGACTGTCAAATCTGTCAACACAATCCTATGGGGATTAAAATGAGAAACATGATCTAACTGTTGTTGCTAATATTACTTTATAATATTTATTTTGCGACATATTTTCTAGACTATCGTGTTATTTAATCCTTTAGAAATGTAATAAGGAAATATTTCGTATATTAGAACAAGACTCTATTGTTATATTGCTTTTGATTGTACATCAACAATGTTTGTCACGAATGTAAACTTTTTACACCTATACTTCGACGTATTCGAAGAAGAACTTTGAAAGAGATCGTTTATCTCGTCCGAAATATTGATCGGCTGTTTTCAACAGAAAATGAGCTGATACGATCTTTAAATGGATTTCAAAAGCTTTTTCTTTTCTATTTGAGTCAGTTTCAATCATAACGATTCAATTTCATGTTAGACAAAACAAAAAAAAATCTAAAAACATATTTAGAAAGTACATACGATTCTGATTCTAAAAACAAATGTTTTGTTTTCATTCTTACTTAAATAAACACAAAATAAACGAAACATTTTGCCTTACACTTTGAAAACGCGGGTCATGGATCTTTAAATTTATTTTCTATTATTCATTCTACAAATGTTGTTTTTTTTCTTCTTCCGATTAGTTTATAAAACTTTATCTCACCTCAAATGACCGAGGTATAACACCACGTTGTGCTGAACCTGGTGTATTTATTCCTTGCATTGTAAAAGATTTTCCACATCTAATACAAAAAAAAAACAAAAAATTATTTGATATTTTATTCAAAACAAACGAAATATTTATATACCCTGTTTGTCCATAAGCAAATACTGTTGCATTATATCCTTCGAGTACCTTTAAAAAAGCAAAATTTTTATTCTTATGTCTAATTTGTTTTTAATTAATTTACATTTTCAACTAAAGGAAAAACTGATTCAGCATAAAGATTTTCTGTTATTGAATCTTCAGGATAAACTGCGTCGAAAGTAAATTGTTTTGGTGGTTCACTACTTTGTTCAATATTTTCTAATTGAACTTGATTTAATTGTGTACTGATTGAAACAATTGTCTTAGAAATTAAATAAAAAATTTAAATACGAAAAAATTTTCCTATAAAAATATTATCTTACTTTACATTGTAAATCAATTTCACGTTGGTTCATCGGTCGACATCGTACAATAACCCGTACGGTTTCACTTGCAGCCATAACTAGTTATTTCTTAATCGAGCAATCAATCTAAAAGAAAATTATTATAAAAGAAACACAAAAAAAAAAAAACGAACAACAACGAAAAAAAAAAACGATAGTGTAACACTATGACTTGTACTGTTCGCTCACTTAACGTTAAAGTATCTTTTATAGAAGAAATGCCATTAAATCAAAAAAAAATGAAAGGAAGAAAAAAACCATGACAGTATATGTTGCTATTCGAGATATGTAAATTAACTTTTACAAGGTAAAAAGAGGACGCCATTATGCAATCAACTGAAGTTTTATGGAAACGTTTTTTTTGAATAAAATTTTTATACAATATAAATATTTATTAAATTTAATTCAATTGTTGAATAGATGGAAGAGTGCGTTCTCATAAAAAAATATAGTCGTTTGTTATAAAACATATGTTTAAGATGAATGATATTTATTTATGATAGTAAAATTATCTCTGTATATTTGATAAATATAATATAAAACTTTCTTATCACTTCCGATATAACAATAAAACAATTCATGACATTAGTCATTAAAATGACATATGAAAAAATTTTCAAAATAAAAATACGAATGTTTTTGTGAATATGTTTTCGAATATTTGTTGATAAGAGTTCGAAAAACTTAGCTAGATTAATTAGTCTTTAGAATAAAATTAACGAGATTTGAATTTTTCTTCATTTGAGTTAGTCTAGTCGAGTTTTTAATATACGCAAAGGTTAAAGTCAAAAGTTGACAGTTTATGAGAAGAGTTCTTCGACTTAGTAATCGCTTTTGAGTCAGAAGCATGTGCATCATGTAGATTCTATTAGATTATGAGCAACCAAAAAAAAAAGAGTTGAGCCTTATAGATTATTGCTGCAGACATGATGTATTTTTACGGTAATCTTTTATATCAGTGCCATGCTTCGCTCAGGAAATTGATTTTCGACTTGAAATCGTGCAAATTTTACTTAGGAAAAACCAAAAGTTCGTAGAACGGTTTTAAAAAACCTTGTCGGATAAGGTAACCTATTCAGAAATGAAAAACCGAATAAACCATGTTGTAGAGCTTTTTGAGGCGCGTCGAATGGTATATAATAAATCCTATTTTCATAAGACTTTGAAGGAACTAGAGTCAATTTACTGATAGACGACTACACACACACTGATACGATGACCGGAGATGCTATATATATGAGGTTGTAGCTCATCAAAAACTCTGCAAAATCCTATGTGAAAAAAATATTTTCGACTAATCGCAAGGACCACAATATTCAGTAACCTATCATACTTAGGTGAGGGTGTGAATATGGGTGCGTAGTCCTCTATTAGTAAATTGACTCTAGTTCCTTTAAAGTCTTATGAAAACAGGATTTATTATATACCATTCGACGCGCCTCAAAAAGCTCTACAACATGCTGTATTTGGTTTTCCATTTCTGAATAGGTTATCTTATCCGACAAGGTTCTTTAAAACTGTTCTACGAACTTTTGATTTGCCCTAAGTAGATGTTTTTACTATTCCTATCGCAAGATACAGTCATGATAAAAGGACATCTCTTATATACACTCATGAATTTAATGTTCTTATTTCAGAACCGAAACTGATGAAATGATCTAATATTTTCATGATTAACTATTCTTGACAAAATTTATTTCTATGCAAATTTTTTGGAAAATTAGTTTTTTTCCGAGGAAAATCATGACATTGAATTGAAAAATATAATAAGCTGTAGATCCTGAACTCTTTTCATAGTATTTATAACTCATGAAGTTTTACATAATGCACATAGTCCGAAATTACAAGCATTTATTTGTAGACAGAAAAAAAATCATTGAAATCAGAAAGTAGCATCTGAAGAATTTTTCTCGTTAATTTGTTTCAAAGAAAAACTTTGTCTTTAATTCTCTAAAAAATCATCCATTATTATTCGGAACATTTTTTTGTTTCTATTATCAAATAAATTTTAGTAGAATTTATTATTTCGATCAAGTAGAAAAAGATAACATTCGACTTCTTATAGGAAAATTTTTTTTTTTTAGATAGAAACGGAAGATTTCAATGGTGCAATTTCTGTTTTTATCTTTTCACGTACATCAAATCCAATAAATGATATATGTAAAAATTTCAATTGTATTTGACAAGCTACTACGATAAGTTACAGACATACATCTGTCAAAGTCAATAACATCGAATCATAAAATATTTTCAAATATTTCCCTTGATTATGTTATAGATAGTCAAAAGTAATTAAAATATATTTTTATTATTTCTAAAAAGTAGAATATAAGATTTTGAAATTTGAAGTTTTTTTTTGTTATCAGTTTATCATAAGAGCCTTGAATTATATTGAATGAATTTATTATGATTAAGAAAATTTAATTAAGTACTAAAAATTAATTTTATTCGAATCTAAAGATTTTTTTACCGAGAAATTTCAAATCTACTAGTTTTAATAGATTCTCATAAAAAGTCTCATTAGCTAGTCATTTCTAATTCATGTTTTCATTAGAAAATATCATAGAAGACTTCGTTCTATTGTCAATTATTAGCATTATGCAATTGTGAAAATATTTAGATAATAACAAAAAAAAAAACCTTCTATCAAAAACACAGTGGGCTCATGCTTTTCATATGCATTATGATTAATATGCAAACTAATAGATAGATAAATTGATAGAGAAGAGCAAAAAAAAAGAAAGAAATGAAAAACGTAGCTGACGTTTTGCTTGAATGATTACACGTGAAATGTATACTAATGAATATTCATAAAATAAACTAGAAAAAAAGACTCTTTGATTATGTCAAATTCAACGTCATCTAATATTGTATGTTGTAATACTTTTTTTTTTGATTTTTACAATAAAAAATAATTTTTGTTTATCTACGAAATTTAGAATGCTACTATACGAACACGTCGTTCAAATAAACAATATCGTCGTCGAAATGAACTTTCTTATCTTATGAGCCATCCAACATTTACTAATTTTGTTGTTTATTTTAAATATTTCTTTTTCAAATCAAATTTTGGTAGTCTTGCATTAATTTTTATGTTTCTTGGAATATTTCATATATATATTTTTTGTCATATTGTATGGCCAAAAATAATTCATTGGTTACATAATTCTACAGCAACAGAAAGTAACGAATTTTAATTTTTTTTGTTTTTTTTTAATGATTAGTTAGAAATCAAATAGTATTGATTATTTACTTATTGATAATTATATAAAAATAAAAAAACTTGAAATTAAAAAATTATTCATATTAATAAAGTCTTTTTTTTTTACTTCATTTAATACAAATTGTATATTTATTGATGAAATTTTTACTGATAGAAAGAAATTTTCAAAATATCTTATAAAATTATGAAATCAATAAAAAACGATGTTTTAAGAATATTAGATATTTTTGTCATAATATGAAATTGATAATTAAGTATATATTTTAGAAAAAATTATTTAAAATGTATTTGAATCTTTAAATGAAATATAGTTTGATTGTGCATTTTGACTCTAGCATTATTATTGTGTCATGATGTATTGTTTCAAAGTGGATATCTATTAAGAATTGCGTTTGAATCATCTGTATTAGCTATAGAACCCTAATCACACTCAGCTATGGGATAAATTTTTATTAGTAAAACATATACTGAAACTGGCTTTTCTTTTTTCTCAATGTATTTGACTAGCAAACATTCTCTGCCATTGTTTACAGCTGGAACAGAAAGCCATAAGTGCTAGCGACGGAATCAGAACACTAATATGCTTCCTATTTTGGATATATAGTAGCAGATGGCGCTCTTATAAATCATCTAGGATGTAAATAGTCAGTAGAGTAGTTAACGACCAAATCAAACCACTAGCTCCTCTCTTATTTTGAGTAGGATAGTAGAGAGTACTGCTACTCTATTGACATCGTATATCCTTGATAACACGATGCACCTAACCGGAGCGCTACCTGTCATTCCCTATTCAAAACAGCTATTAAATCTAAAATTCAGTTTTTGTTTTCTGAAATTTCTGAGAGAGAATCACTATATCCATTTAAAAATTACTGTCAAAGTGCAGTATTTTCGGAAAAAATATGCTAAGAACATGAACTTTTTGTTTTTTTTTTTTTATTGCATTCATCATGAGCAATTCCCAAATAGAAAAGGCATCTGATTAAAATATCAGAAAACGAATTTATAAGATATCTACTCATTCGAAGACATTATCATATAAGAAAACTATCCGTTGATTTTCATATTATCTTTTTTCATGAAATTTTAAGTAATTAATTATAATTTTAAAAATAATTCTTTAATTTTTCGTTTATTATCAATCATCATCTTTTTATTCATTTCGAATTTAGCGAACAACAAGAATGATGAAATACAAACGAACAATAAATATGTTTGTTTTTGACGAAAACTTTTTTTTTTTATAAGGGGAATGTGTATGTGTGTGTGTGTTTTGTTTTATCATCACAAAAGAAGAAAAAAAACACAAGAAACAACATAGAAATAAACGTCAAAAACCAACACACAAAAGACTTAGGTTGTTGTTTTTTTTGTTCTTGTTCTTAAAAAAAAAACTTAATATGTGTGATGTAATTATATATATAAAGAAAATAAGTTACATCGACAAATGCTTTATAAAGCAATTATACGATGTTATACGCACTGGTTTTTTTGTTTTGTTTTTTTTTTAAATAGAAATGAGAAGAAAGAAGAAAGAAAAAAAACGATACAAGTTTGGAACTGAAGAACAAAAGACGAAGACGAAGAAATGAATGTGTTTAGAAAAAAAAAATAGGATAAAATTCAACAATGTATGATCCACATTTTACTGTTGTGAATGCCAAGTCGAATTATTATGTGTACGTTGTTGATGATAATGATGATTTCGATTATTATTACCAGCATATGAAGCACCATTTCGATTATCCTTTACACAAAAAAAAAGAAAAAACATCTTCTTATTTAGTTATATTTAAAATATTTACACGACTATCAATTGAAGAATAAGTCATAGATCGATCATGATGTGATGTATAATAAGTTGGTAATGTATATAAAACCGGATTGAAATAATATGCTGTTGTTGGATTAGCTGTTGTTAATGGAGCTCCCTGAGAAAATGAAGCTGCATTTGCTGATAATTTACTTGTTGTAGGCGTAGTATCTTTTGGTGTTGTTTGAGATGAATTTAATAAATCATTATTTGATAAACGAGTTTGTCCATAATGTGTAAAAAAATCTTTATCATATGATGATCGATCTTAAAAAGATACAAAAAAAATAACATTTTTTTGTTTTCAAAGTTTGACACAAAAGAATAAAATACCATATTTATTAGATTGAATAGTTACAGGATGATATGATTGTTGAGTAGTATATGTTGGCATATAATCTATTGATAGGAAAATTTTAAAATATTTAATTAATAATATATAAATAAAATCTTACTAGTTGTTGGATATGTTGGATAAGTTTCAAATCCAGTAGTTGACCATGAATCAACTTGTGTTAGGAATGGATAGATCTAAACATAATTTTAAATTAAAATCAATGATTAGAATTCGTCGGATATAAAAAATTTATTATCTAATAAGGAAATCTCTTCAAATGTTAATCATCGTTGTCTATAAGTAAGACTAACAGAAGCCCAGTAGGATTCGTTACCATATACTGTCCTTCCGGAGAGTTACGATCGTTTTACTAATTTTTCGATATTCAACCATGGAATTTTGTCCATAAACATGTCTCATGGTTATTATTGGGTTGGTAAGAAATTTTTGTCATTTTTTTTTTGAAAATTTTCTTTTTATTTTTTAACTAGCTTTCAACAATGTATGCTCCATTACTATCTAAGACTTTCCGCCAACGCTCTGGTAGAGAAGGGATCCCGCGTTCGTAGAAGTCCTGCCAGTGTTTTATCCAGAGGGGTGCTCGGGGGGGGGGGCCCCCCCCGAAAATCGCTTTCCCCCCCCCCCCCCCCCGAAATTCCAAATCGCCCCTCCGGAAAAAAAAATCCTGGATAAAACACTGAGCCCTGCGACTATTGGCCAAAGAAGTTGAGGAGGTCCATTTCCAGGTCGTCAAACTTTTTCTCCTTCAAATGGTTAGAAAGAGAACGGAACAAATGGTAGTCCGTAGGAGCCAAGTCTGGAGAATAAGATGAATGTGGAACCGTAATCCATCCGAGCTCCAATAATTTTTTATGCGTGGATTTTGCAATATAGGGTCTGACATTGTCATGCGAAAAAAATAAATTCTATCCGGCTTCCCATAAAGTTTTGCCGCAACCCGGTCTAATTCCTGGCAATAGAGATCAGCAGTGATAGTGCAATTAGTTGGAAGAAATTCCCAATGAATAATCCCTTTTACTCCCTACCAAACGCTCAACATAATCTTCTTTACGAAAAAAGAATGTCTTAAAAGTTTCAGCTAAAATGAATGTTTCTTTCTCAAGATATTGAATTTTCAAGAAACGATCATATTTCAAAGGCAAAAGATCAAAAAATCGAGTTTTATTTTAGTTGAAACTTTTAGGATATTCTAATCGAAAAATTAGTAAAACGATCGTAACTCTCCGGAAGGACAGCGAATCTTTCCGAACTTCTGCTAGTTTTACTTCTAGACAAAATATGAGTGATTAACACTTGAAAAGGCTTCTTCATAATACAAATTAAAAAAAAAATCTTTACTGCAGACGGATGATAAGGATAAGCTCCAACAAAGAATTGTTGTTGAGGTGGTATTTGATACGATGGTTGTTGAGAATAATTTCCTGGTTGAAGTATTGTTACTTTTGGAGTTGTTTTATAATTTGTTGGTTGTTGATTCCATGTTGATGTTGCTTGAGGATAATCTCTTGGTAATGATCTATTACAAAATTATGATATACATAAACATATAAGAAAAAATCATTACGGATATGTGCCAAGTGTATTATATGGTGTAAAAGCAGATGAATTACTATCGGGCCCATTACTTGTATTAGATAATGATTGTTGAAAATTATTTGATATAAGTGAATTATTATTATGAGATGTTGATATTAATGGTAAATCTGTTGTATCAACAAGAGATGATGAAGATGTAGTTGTTTGTTGTTTTTGTAATGAATCAGTTAAATGATCAGATAGATGAGAAGTTTCTTCTACAGATACAATTGTTGGATTATTTGTCTTAAATAGAAACAAAAAACAAAAAAACAAGTAGTTTTAAAATTCAAATTAATAATTTTTTTTTTTTTGTTAATTACTATAATCATATCCGTTATTGGTAATGATGATGATGATGATATTGAACATGATGAAAGTCGTAAATCTCTATCAATATTATTAGTTGTTTCATAATTTAATGATAAATTATTTTCATTACTAAAATAAAAAGAAATATGTAGAAATTTTTATAATAGTAAATTTTTTTTTTTTTACATTGTTTGTTGTTCATTATTATTTATATTTGTTATTGTTGATAATGATTGAGAATTCATGGACGGAGAAACAACAATTGGTATAGAATCATTCCATTGTATATCACCAAATTGTATATCAATTGGTTCTGTTGAATATTGTATTATTGAATGCATTAATACAGGTACCTGAGGAATGGATGATGGTGGTATTGAACGTTTAATAGATGATTTTTTACATGTTAATGTTTGTGTATTATCAAGAATAAAAACATCATCATCAATTGATGATGATAATGGTATTGAATTTTCATTTATTTTTGATATTATTTCATTTGAATTTTGTTTATTTGATAATGATTTATTATTATTTGAATAATTACGATGTAAATTTGATGAATTAAATTGATTTCGACCGGAATCATTTCCTTAAAAGAAAAAAAAAAAAAAAAACCAAAGATTAGAATTGTTTTTCAATTAATAATTTTACTACGTCGTCCATGATTTGTACGTAATGATAATGAATAATGATTTTGTTGATGTTGTCGTTTATTATTTTCACGATGTGATGGTGTAGGAGATGTATGTTGAGATAAAGAACGTTCACTATCACTTTGTATATTATTACCATTTAAAATTTGATCAGTTAAATTATTATTATTATTTTTCTTTTTATTATTTGATTTTGCTGTTTGCCAACCACCATCCTAAAAATCAAAAAATTATAATTCATTTTTTTGTTTTTTGATTGTTATTTATACTTCAAAATCGCCTGCTTTTATTCGTGTAATTGTATTTTGTATATTATAATCACATTCATGAAAGACCATAGCAATTATATCAAGATTAATATCTCCACAAATTTCTTGAATCTATAATAAATATAGATAATACGTTAGAAACTTCTTAGAATTTTTGTTTACTAGTAATATCTGTTTTTGAATAGCCGCATCATCGAATTTTTCTGGTCGTAAACGAGCAAGAGGTTTATACATTGTTGTTAACTAAAAATAATTAATTATTTTGAATAAGATTGTTGTTTTTTTTTTGTTAATAGAAATTTATGAGAATGAATCATTATGTTAATATTGACTCATATGATTTATTTGAAATATTTTTATTTAAGAAGTTTGTTTTATTAAAAATAATCCTTATGAAAGAAAATTCCATCCTATCTTTTCCCAGAAACATGTAAACGAACAAAGAATAAAATCAATATCATTATTAGTATTTTTCCAATACGACAACAACAACATCTTATCTTATAAAGTAATTTCAATAACAATCGAAATGACTTACATCAGATCGATTCATATTTTTCTCGTCGTTTGTTGTCGATGAAAGACTGGCCATATTTAACTGAATAATAATAATAATAATAAATAGGTTAAATTCTCAAATATTTTCATTGTAAAAATATCATAATTTGATCTTCAACAAAAAAAAAAAAAAAAAACAGATACATATATTAACAAATAATAATAATTTTGTTTTCTTTAATATTATTTTTTGTTACGAGGAACTCAACAAAAAAAAAAAAATAAAAGAAAAAAGTACAACGACATTTCAAGGAACAAGAAATACTACGAAGAATTTTATTTTCATGCAAAAGAAAAAAACGCATCAACCAATCCGTTAATAATCTATGGACAACCAATAGAAAGAATTCGAAACATTTATGCAGATTGATTTTTTTTTTTTTTTTGATTAAAATAAAATATTCTCAAAATGGTAAAAGGTAATAATACAATAAAAATGATTCTGGCATTTAGCCAAAGAATAATATGTTTTAAAAAATCAAATCGGACGAAAACGAAAATGTGATCGTTGTCTTTTTTTTGTTTTTTTTAATTTTAGATCGAATCTACTTTATTCATTTTCTTTAGTGTATTTTAATTCAATGGATATTAATCATACGACCGGCAATAAAATGCCGAGTCAAGAACATTTAAATTTTATAAATAAATTAAATGATTCAAAAATTCCACGACAAAATCAATTAATTGCTAATCGTTTATTTATGAAAAATTTTCCTCGTGAAGTAAATTTTATTTATCAACAAAAAAGAAAAGAAATTTCGTTTTATTATTTATTAGACAACTAGTGCTGAAATTGAACATTGTTTTCAAACATTTGGTCCTGTACATGATGTTAAAATAATTGCAAAAGAAAATACGTATGTTTTAAAAATTTTTTTTTTTTGCATGATGAAAAATTTTCATTATGTTTAATAGAACGGAAGTTGCTCTTATAGTTGACGGAAATGTAATTTTTCCGAAGTTTCTCAAGAATCGCAAATTATGAAAACGTTCAAGACAAATAGATCAAAATTTCCTAACTAATTTTTTCGATAATAACAAAGAACAAGCATACATATCTTTTCTATTGCTCTAGAAAACAAATTTTTACAACATTACTAAGTAATTTTTTTTCTTTTAAGAGTACGTTCGATTAGTCTATGTTGGTTAAATATGTATCCTTTGCATATTTTTAATAAAGCAGATGACATTAAATCATTCGATGTGTCAATTATAGAATATATATTGCTCATATTATAGAGATTGTTATTGCTCATAGGACCAATAAAATGCGCTCACTAACAGAATGAAGAGGTGCTCATAATCGAGAGACTCATTTCCAGCAAAATTCACTCGGGCGGCTCACAGAGTGCTCAGTATAAGGAGTTGCTTACATATAGAGGTTATATTGTATGTGAAAATAGAAAATTTTAGCTATAATAAACACCGGGACGAGAAAAACGTCATTTTGCAGATCTCTCAGAAATTTTTTCTTTTTTGTCCAGTCAAAATGATTGAAAAACTAGCTCTTCGAGAGATTTATGACTTTAAAACTTGTTTATAATATCTGAAATTCAAAAATGAAAGCAAAGATTCTCATGAAACTGCGCATCTAATTGACAATATCTTAGGATTTTGAATACTCAGCGACTATGCAATATGATGCTAATTTATGACTGAAAACAATCGAATTATGTATAATTCGATGTGGAGTCTTACGAGAACGTGAATATGAATTTGGGTTTTATTTTGTAATTATCGTAAAAAACTGCTTATTAATCTTGAATAGTATTTCAAAAGTATTCCTAATCTCTTAAAAATTGCTAATACTTTAATAAGATTTTCATCTATGTAGAAAATTAATTTTTTAAATTTTTAGACATTTTGCATTTATTTCATTTGTTAATGATAATACTGCATTAGATGTATTAAGGCAACATGCTATTGTACCAATTACATTTCAAAATCATTCAATTATATTAGCACCAGCTTATAAAAAAAATAGTATTACATCATTAACAAGTATGAAATTTTTATTTTTATGATTGAAAAAGAAAAAGTATAGAATATCAAATGAATATTTTGATATGAGAAAAAGTTATATCTTATAAAAAGAAGAGAAATCGATACCTTGATAAGGTAATCAGAATATTTTCGATGTCAATAACATATCAGTGTTTTTTGTGAAAATTTTTCAAGGTATATAACCAATTATATGATTTTTTTTTTTCGAAATGTATATGATTTATTTAAATTTTCTTAAGGACGTCTTCCCTCAAAAATCGATCTCAGCTCTAGCATGAAACTTTGAGGAATATAAAAGTACGTCTGTGATAAAATTTTCAGCCTCCTATCCGGATATGTAAGGTAGATACGAACTTAACAAGAGTCGAAAAAAAGCTTATCATGGCCCTCAAATTTCTCTATGGATGATTCAGAAAGAGCATGTCAGGATCCAGTGCCTATGCGGGTCCTTTTCTTATTTTTAATAACGAAAACAAGAAATTCAGTCCCTCAAAAAAAACAATGATGTTTACGTTATCAAATAACTTTTCAATATAAGCTTTTTATTAAAAAAAAAAGGATCGTCATAGGCGCTGCAATTTTTGATGCTCTTTCAAACAAAAAAAAAAAAGAATTTGACTTTTCGGGGGTGGCTGCATCGTTCGACTACAATTTTGAGAAAAAAAGAAAACAATTTTTGAGAAAAACGGAGGTACCAAGGAAAAATTTTTAAGGACAAATGACAGGCTATACTCCTATGTATATATCTCGATTTCCATGATTCTGATGTTTTGAAGAGGAGGGGGGGGGGGAGGCCTTAATAAATATTAGGGCTGTACTGCTCACGCTGATATGAGCGCACATGAGCGTGACCGGTACAGCCCTAGTCATATGAGCGGGAGCGACCACCCCTCACCTGAGCATGAGCGTAGGGCTGTACCACTCACGTTCATGAGCGCTGATATGAGCGTGAGCGCTTTTTCGCTCACGCTCATGCTCACGTGAAGGACGATCCAGGGGTGGAACCGGTTGAGAAATATTAAAATGGTCCGGTCCGGCCGGTTGGAATCACATGTCCAACCGGTGGAAAAACATCGAATTTTTTTTTTGAAAACCGATGTTTAGAAAAAATCGCTCCAAATATGAAATAGTTTAAGGCGCATGTAAAAGACGCTCATCATAATGAATCTTTTTAAAGAGAACCTCAGGAAAAACGATTAATCTAACATATGTTTTGAGCACTTTTTTACCTATTCTGACAGAAAAAACATGTGATACCTTAGTTTTTATGGTCAAAGACAGGATTAACAAAGAAGATTTTTGAAAAATTTCAACTGGTGAAATTCCGGTCTTTACCAGCCCGGTTGATTTCTTCAATCGGTTCGGTCCGGTCCGGCCGGACCGATTCCAACCCTGGGATGGTCGCTCACGCTCATATGAGTAGGGCTGCACCGCTCACGCTCATGTGCGCTCATATGAACGTGAGCGACCACCCCTCACGTGAGCATGAGCGTGATCGGTACAGCCCTAATAAATATGATCTTTATATTCAGGTCCTTCATCTTATTATCCTACGAATGGTTCAACTATGACACCACCACCTACACCTTCACGAATAGGAATTAATGGAATATCAACACCATTTCATCAACAACAACAACAGCCAATATCAACTTCACAAACTGTCTATCCACCTTTATTTTTTCCTGTTCAAACTAATGTAAATTTTATATATTAATTTTTTGTTTTTTGTATTATTTTTGATATGTAGATGCCATTTCTTCCTATGACTGGTACTTATTTAGTACCACAAACTGCATCATTACCACCACAGGTAAATTAATTTTAATAAATAATTTAAAATTTTGAATTATTTATTTTTAAGCAATTATCATCATCTTTCTATCCAACATTTTATACACATGGTACTAGTCATCAAACAGGTGGACAATTAATTAATGGAGTATGTATTTTGTTTTGTAAATTATTGACTAAACAAAAAAAAAACATTTTTCTGTTCGTTAATAGGCTTATGTTCAATCTCCATATATGTATTCAATGAGTCTACCAACTATTCCAGGACAATATCAAGTAACAACATCAACAAATGATATATCTATGACAAGCGAATATTGATTCGATAGTATATTTTTTTCTTCCGGCCTCGATTTATAAAAAAAAAAACACAAAAGCCTTCCTACAATTCTTTCTTCTAGTATTTTTTTTTTTGTTACTCTATTAACGAATTTCTCTACAGAGAAAAAAAACCTTTAAGTCGCTCTTGTGCTCTTCCAGCAGTGTGTTTCTGCCTTGCTTTCATTTCTTCGTTTCTGTGAGAGTGTGTGTGTGTGAGTATCCACTGATGGTGCTTCTCTTACCGGTGTATTATCAAAAAAAACGTATAATGTGAACTTTTTCGTTTGATTATCTGTGTATACAGCGTGATGTCTTTATCATCTATTTTTTTTTTTTTGTTGTCTCATACTTTACTTCTATATGTCAGATCGTTGATACTCAGAAAATTTGACCGGTTACTTTCTTTTTTTTGTCAGATATAAACATGCGATGCCATGATTTTTTTTTTTTCTCTTTTACTATCTTCTTCTATACCGTCGTCTGTAATAAAGATTTAAAAAAAAAAAAAAGATTAAATATTATTTGCTCAATTATTTATTTGTGATATGAATGAATGAAAATAACAAAAAGAAAAAAATTTGTATGTTAAATTATGGGATGAAATATAAAATATTACAATATTTAAAAAAAAAGAAATAAGAAGAAGATGTCAAAGTATATGATGAAAATATGCTTATATGAATATATTGATCATGAAATCGAACAACTTTCAATAATGGTCGATTACAAGAACCTATAATCCTATAATTCACGTGGGTAGTTACTATTTATTACTGAGAAAATTTCAATGAATAATTAACATAAACTTAATATTTTGCATTACATAACGAATGCATATATATACATATTTATTCTAGATCGATTTATTGATCAAGTTGACATGTAAGTTATTATTGCACTTATTGGTAAGTTACCATAGAAATAGACGAAATCATATAAAAACATTTTTAAGGTTTTACAAAAGAACCTATGAACTTAATAAAAATTTATTTATATTCTATTCTCATGTATTGACATGACTATATTTTTTATTTTCACAAATTATCAAAAATTATTTTTCTTTAATAATATATTCGTCTGTAATTTTATCTCTTTTCAAGTACAATAATGTTGTCTCAAAATACTCGTTCCTTACCTTTATATGTTTGCATTTTAAAGTTCTCTATTTAAAAGTACAAAATATATTTCTACATCCGACATTGATGTCTAGTCTAAAGTCCAAAAGCAAAAACAACAAAGCTGTTGTCATATATAATTGTTTTTTTTTTTTCATAACAAAAGATCATAAGGTTACATAGAAAATGTTTTCTGTGTGTCATCTACCAGAATAGTTTAACCCATGGGAAAATTTTTTTTTATCAAATAATAACGCATATTAGTCTAAATTTAGTCCCAACGAAACACGACATACATATCACCTTGATACATTTGTTTATTAGACATCAATCATTTTTATTTATCTACTGATTATTTTAAAAAAAAAAAACCAACAACATTACATACTGAAGTGTTAAACTATTTCATTTCTTCGACTTCACCATTGATTATTACATCACTGTCTAGACGATGTCGGTGGCAACAACAGAGACGGTTAGTTACATGTTTTTATTTAGTCTGTCGGACAACAGATATGCATATATATATATGTACTAAGTCAACGAATTGATGATGAAAGAAGTTAATTTAATTTTTTAACCTCTGTTATTAGACTATTTAATAGATCAGTGTTAATTCGATAATTCAAGACCCAAAAAACAAATTGGCATTGTTTTTGTCTTTGTATAAAAAACTATATATATATATATTTTTTTTTTTCTTAAAAACTCTTGTAAAAATTAGATTCCATAGTAATTTCTTTTGCTTTTATTAATACCTGGAGTTTGCATGACAACTTATTTTATTTGTACAAAGCAGACAACGGAAAAAAAAAGAACTCAAGTGTCATGTAATTAAGTAGGGAGTATTTTTAGTCGGCTTGACAGCGACAACAAAAATGGCCTTGGTAAGAGCATTTGAGAGATACGGACGGGAAGAAAAAAAAAAACAAAAAAAAAAAAAGAAATTTTCTAGACGAAGTTTTTTTGTGCGTTATTTAGTAGCATTTAATTTTCATATTAATTTCCGCATGGTATAGTCTAGAAACTATAATAGTATTATTTCTAAGTTTCTTATATAAGTAAAAAAAACAATTTTTTTGTATGCATCGTATGTTATAATATATATATCGAAGTTCATTGAGTTCAACAGAAAACAAATGATTTTCGATAGAAAATAATTTTTTTTTCTTTAAACGAAAAAAGGGAAATTATGTCCTATATGTTATATCATAGAAATTCTAATTTATTATATTATAATATCTTAAGAATGTAGATAATCGTTTGTTTTTTTTTTGTTTTGACGGACAACAACAAAAAAACAAGTAGGAAAGTATTCAGTACAAATATAATTATATTACTTTTGAGAATAACAAAACATAGACATAAAAAAATGTGTTGTTTGTCTAATGTTAGTTTTCATTCAAAGATCGATAAATTAATCAATAATTACTTTGATTGTTTTTTTTTTTTGTCATGGAAAAAAAAAACATGTATATGTAATATATTAGAAAATACTATTTCTACTGATTATTAGTTTTTTTGTTTTTTTCTTATCAGAACAACAAATAAAATAAAGTATTCTATTGATATGTCTAGCGAGTACAATATGACCTTTTATTTTTACATTCTGAATTGTCTGGAATGATAGAAATTAATTGAAGAAAACATTTTTATTATGATCAATATTAGTATAAGTTTGAAAAAACATTCCTATTTATATTTCGTTAATACATAGTGTTTTTTTTTCTTTTGCTATTTATTGACATAAAACACGTCCAGACAAACGATACGTTTTTTTTTTTTTCTTCTTTTTGTCCTTATATTTTTTTTTTGATTACTATCAATGTTAAGTAATGGATAAAAATAGATCACAACGTATTACCAACTTACAGAATATAAAAAAAAAAAAAGAAAATTTATAAGGTAATTCACTATTCATATTATCATTGGTCTATTTTCTATTTATAGCTTTTGTTTATGTTAATATTAAGAATAATTAATTCCTTTTAAAAAAAAAGAAAATCTAAGAAAGTAATTTTTGTTTATTAAAGTATATATCTATTCCGTTTTTTTTTTGTTTTTATATTATTTTATTTAAGATATGTGAGTAATTTAAAGGATTATAAACATTTTTGTTTTGTTTTACTTCTATTTGAATAGCCAGTTTTTTTTACTTTATTTTTGTATCAACAATTAGTCAAAGAAATAGTTGATGGCTTCTGTCTAGTGTATTTGTTGATAACGGAAATTGATATGACGAGACATACTCAACAGTACGTCGAGCAAGAGAATGATGATGATGGTGATGACGACGATCAGACATTATATCATCGTAGACAGACAGACAGACAGACGCCAAGCATATAAAAGAGAGTAAAAGAAAAAAATCAAGAGAATCAGACATACAGAACATAAAGAAAACAACGACGAGATTGGACCGAATAAAGAGAAATAGAACGAAGAAAAATATATAAAAAAAAAAGTGTGTCTGTCTCGGTACTGCTAGTTTCCTTCTATATTGTCACTCGTCTTTTACTGTTCGTCATTGCAAGTAGTCACTCAGCTAGTTCATTATTATAGTTAGCAAGACAATTCACATGTATATATATGTATATATTTAAGTTAGAGTAACAAAACACTTTTTTTTTAGAAAATATCTAATTAAACATACATTTTCATATATAAATATAAATTCAGGTTGAACAAACAAAGTTCAGTTAGTATATATATATATATTTTTTTTTTTTTTCTAAATTATAGTCGACTTACAAGAAAGAAAAATTGCATGTGTATATATATTTTAATCAAATATATTAGGTTTTCTATTTCTAACCTAGGAAATAAAATTAAGAAGAAAATGATGTTGTATATTATCTTATCTAGGTAATATAGAAAAATAAACAATTCAAGCCAAACAGTACATTTTCTTTTTTTAGTGGTATATATATATATGAGAAAAATTAAAAATTGATAAAAAAATATTTATATGAATAAAACTCTTATGTATTATAAATATATATTATTATTACTTTTTTTAATTTAAAACATTTCGTCTAAGTGAAATGTTTTTTTTTTGTTTTTTAATATAAAACTTAAACAAAAAGAAAATAAATATTTAAGAACGATATACTTAGGGACATGTATTATAATTGTAAGACAAATATTAAATATCATGTCTATTTTTGTATCATAGTTAAAATTATAAATATAACTATGTTCCCTTTTTTTTTTTAAACAATGGTAATTAATTCTTTCTTTTTTTTTTTTTTGTTTGTATACTTAGACATGTTTTGAAAGTTTTTCTTATAATATTATTCTAGATTATTGATGTTTGTGTTTGAATTAATAAAAAAAATTTTCTTATATTAATAAATAATATCATAAAAAAAGTTAAATTAATTAAAATTAGTTAATGTTTAATCGTTTATCAAAAGCCATCTATTGTACATTGTTGGCGTTGATGTTGGTTTTGTCATTGTAATGACGCCTACTAGAACATCGTTCGTCAAATATCGATTATTATTATTATTATTATCTACATATAGAGATATCAAATCAACACTACAACAAAAATATATTATTAAACATTATTGTCATAGAATAAATTTACTTAAATGTAAGTAATACAAAAAAAAAGAAAAAATTTCGTTCGATACAAATAAAATATAATATTATATGATCTAAATTTCTTTCGATGATTAATAACTACTATGGTTTCATTTTTTTTATTCAACATTGACAAATGAATTTGATATAAAAAAAAAAATTGACGTCGTTACGAAAGAAATTTTTGTTTTTCACTGATTTTTTATTTTTTATTTTATTGTCTATATAACTAAAGGCCAACACATCAATAGAAATATATTCTTAATGATAATAATTGTTTAAATTATGAGAATGTAGGGAGGAAAAAAAAAAGTGACAGTTAAGTCTATTTTTAATCTGGTTATTCAGTATGCATGTTTTATTTTTTTTTTATTATTTATGACTTTGAATATAGACAAATGAGATGTCATTTTGAGAAGAAAATATAAGTAGGATATACGGCTAAAAAACTTTTAATAATCATATTTAATCTTGAGATAAAGAGGTATAAATAAAAGATTTTAAAATCTTTTGTATTGTAAGACAAAAAAAAAAAAAAGAAATGAATTAATCTATGGAAAAGAAATAGGTTCAAATTAACTATTAACTTTAATGAAACAGATGAATATTTGAAACAATATTTTCTTCTATATATAAGAGAAAAAAAATTAACTTGAAATTAAATATTAACTTTCAATGATTATTTTTCGAGAGTATTTCATAAAAGTAGAATAAAACCTTATAAAAGTCAAGTGCAATAAAATTCTCATGATCATTTTCACAAGATATATATTTCATATAGAAAAATTTCTTTTTAAAACAATTTTTTTTTGTTTTTTTGTCTATTTAGTTCTTCAAATATATCATCATAATTCTATTCTTGGTAATAAAAATATCATGTCGAAAGATTTTATAAATGAACTTGATTTTAAAATACAACAAATGAAAGAATATAGTCTTATTAATCATGGTTATCGTAATGAAAATATACAATATCCTGTAAATGTTCGTCGTAGTCATGATGGAGAAAAAATTTTATCACAAAATTCATCATCATTATTATCTAAAACAAATCGTAATCATAAAAAACATATTGTTTCTAATTCAACTATATTAACTTCATCATCATATGAAAATCAAACAAAAATTAAACAAAATGATATAAATAATCGTCATTTATTATATAATGAACATCATACAACATTAAATGTTCCACCAAATAAAACTATTAATGATATAGATCCATCATTAAATTGTGATAAATTATATAAAAATCGAAAATCATCATTAACATCAACAGATTCATCATTAACATATTGTTCATCTCGACCACATTCAATAGCAACAATATCATTACCAATAACAGATGAACAACATATTAATTCATTATCAAATTCATCTCAAACATTAATTAATTCATCAGTATCAACAAAAACATTAACACAAAGATTTTTTTCTAAATTCTTCCATCATCCATCAAAATCTTGATATAAAATTTATGATTATTATTTTCTTTGATCTTAAATTTTTTTTTTTCTTTTTTCTGTACACCGAAAACAGTGCTTTTACTTTTAGAGTAATTGAGCGACGATCTCAACTTATTACACTCATTCTCTATATATATAAATATATATATGTATATGTATGTGTGTTTCTGTATAATTACTGTTGTTTCGTATGTCAAATGTCATTACGGCGTGAAACAGTATCGATTTTTAATATTATTATTTGGCTTAAGGTATTTTGTTTTCTCGTTTATTTCTTCTTCTTCCATGTTCTGTCTGTGTTGCATATTATTAAATAAATTTCTCGTTTTTTTTTTTTTCTTTTTTGTGTGTTTGTTGCTCATGATTTCATAAAAACAAACATATGACAAAACAAAAAAAAAAAAAAATCCAATATAAACTTAATCAAACACGTAATGCATATAAATTAAAGAATGATTTTGTTTTTTTTTTGAAAAAATCTAAATCATGACAAAGAATAATCTTCGCAAAAGAACTTTAATGGTATTATATTCAAATAAAAAAGTGAAAATAATGTCTGCAGAGTTCTCAAAATATTTATTTTTCACGTGAATAAATCATTATTTTTTTCAGAGTAAAATCATATTACAAAATCCTTCATAGAAAGAAAAAAAAATTTGCATTACTTCTAGACTACTTGAAGCGATATTATTTCAAAGTACATAGAGGTTACACAGGTATAATTGATACATCAAAGTAAAATTTAATGTCTCAAGTTCGATTATATTGCGTCTCTTGAAAAATAACCAATAAAATAATAAAAAAAAAAAAAGAAGAAATACCTTGTCTGTATACTTTATAAAGTTTCAGACAATAAAATTAATTATTAAATATCGTTTATCATATCATATAATAAAATTTTTCTATCAACTTTCAAGAATAAGTATGTTATTCATGATCTATGAATAAACAAATAATCTAGACAATTCTATTTTATCTATATTGTTAAATATACATCAATCAAACAAAAACAAAAACAAAAAAAAACGTTTTTTTTTTTTTCTTCTTTTTATACAAGTGTTGAAAGTTCATCAGTTTTAGCTATATCAATATCACCATCACATATATGTGTTCCATCAATTGTATGATATATAGATGAATTTATTCCACCTAATTTACCATTAAATTTATTATTTTGCCATGTTAAAAAATAAGTTAAAAGTGTCATAAGAATAAATATTAGACCAAAACCAAGAACAATTAATGATGTTATTGCTGGTATAAGTGACATATTTAATAATATAAATAAACACATAACTAAAAAACAAAATAATTCAATTAAAAAAAAAACAAAAAAGATTCGAAATATTTTTCATTATTCATACCAAGTATAAATGCTGGTATTGATGCATAAAAACTACATATAGCAATAAAACGTGATGTTGAAGAATTGAATAAATAAGTAAAACTATGAAAATTGAAATGTTTAAAAAAATAAATAAATATATATTTTTTAAATATTAATAAAAGAAAATTATTTACCGATAAGAATTTAATTTATCTTTTGTTATATTACAACCAAGATATATTTCAATACTAAATATTAATACACAAAAACAATTTAATACAATAATTATTAAACATATAACTGTAGCTAATTCACGTATACAACGATCATATGTTGGTATAATAAGATTTGATATTGTATCTGTTATAGGTATTGATGTTGCTATCATATAAATAATATTTGTTGTTATATTCATTGATTTAGCTAAATGAGAAATCATATCATGATTATGTATAGAATTTGTTTTTAACATTAAATTCATTGTTGATATAGCAATAAGTATAAGTGAAGCAGAAACAAAACACATAAAACATAAACTTATTATATTAGCACCCTTTCGTGATGTAGACAATCGACGACGTTCATTAACATTTACCATTGGTATTGTTTGATCTGATAATGATTCACGATGACGAGCTATTTCTGTTATATTAACAGTTTCGTGTCCAATTGATACTTTATAAGATGATGAATTATAAGCAGTAGATGATAAACGATTTAATAATTGACTTTGACGAGATTGAAAACTTGGCTCCGATTGACTTAATGTTGTCGGCCAATTCATATCAAAGTCAGTTGGTGGTGGAGGTAAAGGTTGAATTGGTGATGGTGAAGATGTACGATCAACAAGTTGACTAATAAAAAAAAAAAAGATTAAAAGAAAAAAAATAATAAAAGATGACAAATAGTGTCTGTTAAAATGTAAGAAAATTTCAAGTGTACCTGTCATCATTATTCGGCTTCCCCATCACTAAGTGTTAGGATGCTGTATTGAATCAATATGGCATCTCACTCATATTCTAACACTTTCTTTCGTGTTATAAAGAAGAAGAAAAAAAGAACTTGTTACATATAAGCCGACGCGACGCAACAACTGTCTCGCAGTATGAATATTGATGATGATTATGGACAACTTTCAATACACAACCGTCAATTAGACGACGAATACGAAGCCTTAGAAGAATACATGTGTATGTGAAATTATTGGACGGAATAGTTACTTTCTTTTCTATAGTATAAATTTTCTCTCAATCTTTAATCAGCCAAAAAAAAAAGAAAGATTAGAACAATATCATCATCGTCTTTATGAATATTTGACATCTATTCTAGAATATTATCATCTTTACGGCTTCTATTTATTTATAAATCGAGTAATAAGAGAAGAAAACAGAAAAAAGAAACATTAAATCATAAATAGAATATAATAGTTAGATAATCAAAATGAAGATTCTTGCTATTAATTTTTATCGATTCATATTTCATTGGCTTGTATAATTATTTATTATTCATATCTATTAATCGAAAATCGTATCAAGGTTAAAATTTATAAGTTTCTAATGTAAATATGACTACTATATAATCAATCAATTTTCTTTATATAGTAGTAAAATATTAGAATTAAAATCAAAAAAAAATTTTATTTCAATAGAATTTATCAATAGATTCTTTATGTATTAATTGTATGCTTGACATACGTGTTCCATACACCTTCTTGTCAATCAAAAATGTATAGAACAAGAACAGATTGATGAATAATTATATATAACTATACATCACTATGCATATACATCAATCGTAGTGACTACACTTAAAATATCGAATAGTCCTATTGAATTAAGTGGAAACGGATGGTGACAATAGCAAGCTAACCTATATATATAGGATTTTTTCTTTTTCATCTCTTCTTCACGTCATTGTTACTATTGACATTGAATGGAAAAAAACGTGCAAATGAATGACATTAGTGAATAACGATAATGTAATATGATGTGTCTGTATTTGTTTAATAGACTCAAGTAAATAATGTCATTTTTTTGGTTTTATTTTTTGATGAATATTATTCAACAAAATAAACAACAATATTTCATCAATTAAACAAACTCTTTTAAAATAAAATAATAATAATAATAAAATGTTTATAGACAACTCTTAATTTCTTATGAATATAAATAAAATTGATTTTCTTATTTTAAAATCTAATCAAAACAATAGTAACTAAAATTCATGTTAAGTTTGTTCCTTCCGGATTTAGTCGTGAGATGATTAATAATATAATAATATAATGTACGGATATGCAAATGATCGAAATACTTGTATATTTATGAAGAGAAAAGAAAATTCTTTTTTTTTTGTTTTGATGTTTTGTTCAAGTTGAATATTTTAATTTAGAACATCAAAATTTATTGATATAGAATAATATAAAATTATGAACATAATGTTAAATCTCTTGAGATGTCAAAATATGACATATTCTGTTTTTTGCACAGTTTCTTACATAATTCTAATATTAAAATATGACATGAAGAACAAAATAACAAGTAGTTTTTTTTTTTTTTTATTATTGAATTCATTAAAAATATAAAAACAACAAGAAAAAAAAAAAGAAGTAATTTTTTTTTTTGTTGTTGTTGAAAGCATAATTATATTAAGATATTGAATTGGAATAAATTTTCTTTTTTTTCGAAAATTGTTCTATAAGATCTTGCTTCTTTTCTCTCTCTTGATGTTTTTAATATTCTTTTGTTATCTTTTTTGCCTTGACTGACAGCTAAGATGTGAACGATCTGAACTTGATATTGAACGAAGAAACGACTCGCTACTCTTTTCTCTCTCTTTTCTTCCCTGTAGTCGGCCTATTATTCAAAGCATTTTATTAGATATGCTAATCAACGAAGAAATCAGATTTAGGAACGTTATGCTGCTCTCTTTCGTCGTCGTCATCATCACTATCATCCGGACCCATATGCGTGACTGTTGGATTGTTACTCTCTCTCTCTCTCTCTCTTGTCATCAGTTCTTCGTCACTCACTGTTTCATTCTCCTTTTTCAGCTAAAGAAAACAATAAGATGAAGAAATGATAGTAACATAGGAAATTCTCGTTGACCTTATATCGATGAACAGGACAAACGAAACGAACATCAATATTAAGTTAACGAGACATATTCAATAGTCAGCCGATACGGTTTTAGAGCTTCAGATCTCAATAACGATTAGCAATTGGTAAAAAAACAGATAGATAGATAGATCGATATTCTTCTAGCATCCGATTGTCAATGTATTGAGAATCATAGTTAAAACTCTATTCCCTAAAGTCTTTACATATCTTCTTTTTTTTTTCTCGTTTTCTTTTTCTTGATCTATACATAACAATTGTTCAAAAGAGATCTGAGATGGAACGAAGAAGAAGATGAAGATGAAGATGATGATGATAATAAGAGATAGTAAAAGAAAAAAAAGGGATAAGATTAAATAAACGATAGATGAAGACGACGTTTTGTTGCTGCGTGATGTTCACCACCCTTTTCTAAATCAATCTATTTAAGTTGTTAACGCGCAACTATCCTCTTCTAGTCATTCATTTCACTACATAGAATTAGTCATTGATTGATCAAAGTGTGAACAAGAATATATTATCAAAAAGACAAAAAGAAGAAGAGACGTATACAATAATATGAAACATCGAATGAAATCTATGTGTAAGTCAATAGATCAAACAATAAGAAAAAAAAAAGCCTCGAATATTTCGTTTTCTTTTCATACTTGTGAACATCTGTTACACTGAAAGAGAGAGAGAAGAGTCTACTTAATGATGATTATATCATTTTTCGATTTGTATTATACTTTTTTTTTTTTTTTTACTTATTATTTTTGCTTTTATAACTATCTTAGTTATCAATGTTATTCAACGAGATAATTATTTTAATTGTTGTTGTTGTTTATTATTATTATTTATATTATTAATAAAGTATGTATAAACAGATGGTAAGTGTCGATAATAAGGATGGATTACAACTCGATTGTTTTTCGCGAGTTTACACACGAATCATTACATCGTATTGAACGTTATCGACAAGAAGAAGCTGAACGTCTTGCTTCTGAACGATTACAACGACAAATAATACGTGAAGACGATAGTGAACAATATAATTCAATGACAAAATCATCTAAATATGAACAATTATATTTAAAACGTAAACCAAATAAAGAATTAGCAGTTGGACAAACATTACCAAGAATATTACAAACAAAATTTCCTGCTGAACTTATTGGTAAACCAATTGAAGAAATTGATTGGTATTATCGAACTGAATATGTAATGTTTTTCTAATAAAAAAAAAAAAGAAGTTAAAGTTTGCCCTTTTATAATTATTATTTTAGGTATTTATGGTTGTTAATCGAAATAAAACAATATTTCGATTTAGTTCAACTCCAGCATGTTTTATATTTTCTCCATTTAGTTGTCTTCGTCGTTTAGCTATACGAATATTAACACATTCATTATTTAGTACATTTGTTATACTTACAATATTAACTAATTGTATATTTATGACACTTAAAAATGTACCTGATACAAATGAGTAAATATTTTCTTTTCCTTTTTTTTTTTTTTTTTTTTTTTTTTTTATTTTAATATGTAACATTTGTTTAAATAATAAAATAGATATGTTTTTACAATAATTTATACACTTGAAGCATTAACAAAATGTGTTGCACGTGGATTTATTCTTAAAAAATTTACATTTTTACGTGATCCATGGAATTGGTTAGATTTTATTGTCATTACTTTAGCGTATGTATTAAACTATATGTAATATGATAAAAGAAAACATATGAATTCTTATATGTTTTGTTAGATATATTACATTTTTTGTTAATTTGGGAAATGTTTCAGTACTTCGAACTTTTCGAGTATTAAGAGCATTGAAAACTGTTGCTGTTGTACCAGGTATGATATTATATTGAATATATAAATTTGAAATTATTTTTCTTTTTTTAGGTTTAAAAACAATTGTCGATGCATTAATACAATCTCTTATTTGTTTACGAGATGTTACTGTTTTATCAAGTTTTATTCTATCTATATTTGCTTTGGTTTGAATATTTTATAGATTTATTTATATGAAAAAATTAAGTTTTTATTTTTATTTTTTTGTCATTTTTATTAGGTAGGCTTACAGCTTTACATGGGAGTTTTACGACAAAAATGTGTACCAACTTATGAATCATTTTTAAATAATTCAAATTTTTCTACAGTTGGTTTTAATATGTCATATGAATCTTATATAAATGAAATTGCTAACGAAAGTATGTTTATTAATAAATTGTTAAGTCGCAAAGGTTTATGTAGATGCAGAGAATAGTATATAATACATTATTTTTATAGCTTATTGGTATCAAGAAGATGATAATTATGTACTTTGTGGAAATGCTAGTGGAAGTCGAAAATGTCCGAAAGGTTATGTCTGTTGGAAAGATCGAGGAAAAAAGTAAATTTTTACTTTTCTTTTTTTTTAATCTTGTTAATAATTAAAATGCTTCTTTTCTTTTCTTTATAGTCCTGATTTTGGATATACAAGGTATAATATTTTATTTTAATCTATTATAAATATATATATATATATTTGTTTTCTATAGTTTTGATAGTTATGGTTGGGCTATGTTATCTTGTTTTCGATTAATGACACAAGATTATTGGGAAAATCTTTATCAATTGGTAAGAAAATATTTGTTTTTTTTTTAATTGAAATTTAAACTATTTTATTCTTTGATAAAAGATATTGACAGCTGCTGGTCGTTATCATTTTTTTTATTTTGTTGCTGTCATATTTTTTGGTTCATTCTATTTGGTAAATTTAATCTTAGCTATTGTATCAATGTCATATCAAGAACAACAACAAAAAGTAAATGCTGAAAAAAAAGAACGTGAACGACGTAAAGTTAAAGATGAACTTGAACAACAAAATGAAG